CTTTTCATGTTATAGAAGAAAATCAAATGAAGGAAGAAATACTCTTACAAAAATACATTAAAGATCAGTATCAAACACATTGAATCCCTCTTAAAAGATTTATATTATTAGAAGATAATTTTGTTATAGATTAATTAAGAAAACTGTGTTAAATTGGAATCTGAAATGCAATTTAAAGATCGACCTATAAATAAATGAGAAGAATTATTGTTATGCAATAGTGTTAAATTGTATCAAATACGACTCATAGAAAAAGAGAAAATCACTTCATTCCTGATTCAGATGATTAAATAATTATTTATTTTCAATAAACTAATCTTAAAGATGGCATTTTAAAAAAGAAATAATTTTGACGAATATATTTGAAATAATTTTGCTATTAGATTAACTTTTATCGAAATTAATTAAGTATGTTAAAATATATTTTATTGAAACAATTTTGCTCAGATATGAAAAAGATATCTATGAAAATACTTTTACAAGTTGATGCAAATCCTTTATAATCACTGAATAAATAACATAAAGAAATATCTACTCTTTGTTTATTAATTATAAGAGAGAATTGTCTTATTTACATAACACTTAGATTAAAAAATCAAGTTAACCAAAATCCCTCCTTCATCATTAAAATATATAATAAAATTTATATTTAAACACATTTATTTATTTTTGAATATGTATAAAAAAGAAGAGTAAAAATTCAAGTTTTTTGTTTAGGAAATTTAAATTAATTTCAAAACATGCTAAATTTGATAAGAGAAATATTTATTTCAAGAATCTTATTATATAAATAATCAGTAAATAAATTGATTAGAAATGTTAAATTTGGATATATTTTAAAATTCATTTTTAATTCTTAATATTTTTCACAACTTTTCAATTCTGTGGAGATTTATTATTTTTTAATTTATTTGGATAAAAGTATTAATCATTATTTTTCATTAGAACAATAATATATGTAATGATGTTAGTACTTTATAGATCCCCTGATATTCCCTGGTATTTTATGGAACAAAATATTCATTTATTTGAGACTCAATTGTTAGTATACTTATAAATATCAATTCTATTTTAATCTAAAGAATATTAATAGTTAATTTTGTAACTAAAAAATGCTTTTTGATTATAAAATCAATAATTATAATTAAAAAATGTTTTAATTACAATGAGGAATATTTTTTATTAATAAAATCAATAAATATTCAAAGAGAAGTTCAAATGATATTATTAAAATAAAAATTGTTAATATGATAAAAAAAAAAATATATCAGGAATACTTGAATATATTTAAAACTAATATGGAGAGATTATCTTAATGAGTAATTATCATTCATCATATTAACATTATGTATAGAAAAATTTGAGTTAAAGTCTGATTTGGATAAGCTTGAAGTGATGAAATATAAAATATAATGGAAGTTTATTTAATAGAATTTCTTCACTTATTATTTTTATATATAATCTTTTAAAATTTAATTTTATCTCATTTATAAATACCTAATTTTTAAGTTTCTTAGTTGAAAGCAAGAATGATTTTGAGATTAGTTGGAAGTGATATTGAGAGTAGGAATGTTCTAATTAACTCTTTCCATAAATTAGTGCAGATTTTTGGAGGGATCAGTGAGAAAAATTATTAATATCTCACAAAAAAATTTCCTAGAAAATCACTAAAGCCGTCCTATTAGTGGTTAATGTTAAATTACTATCAAATATTAAACAGCAAATCCTTATATTAATTATAATTCTATTAAGCAAAAAATCCTATTAAAATTCTAGTTAAATATATTTTTGGCTGAATGATTTTTCACGAATAAATTAATTTGTTGTATTTTTAGTATTAAAGTCAAATAATTACTTTAAAATTTTTGATTTTCAACTAAAAAATTCTTTATCTAACCTGTTTTACCTTTGCTTGTTATTAAAACAAAAAATCGGACGACCTACTTATTCTTATGTGAATTTCTTAGATGAAACCCTAGAATTCAAATGGTGAATACACCCTATTAAGTGAAAAAAACCATTTATCATTCAATGTATGTTATTTTCTTTAATACATACATTAATTTCAATCTAATTAATTCATTAAAGAATTTATTGTGAATATGATCATATATCATCTATTACTTTATCTGGTGTAGGCATATTCAATATAAAGATTAATTTAATAGATTTTGTTTTAATATTTAACAATTTTATATTTCTAACATTTTCTATTCCAAAAAGGTCAAAATTATTTATAATTAGATTTTACTACAGTTATATTTCTAAGCTAGTTCAATAAATTCTTTGAAAATCCATTCAGCAAGTGAATTTAGTGATTGCAAAATCATCTGCAGATGCAAATATTTTGATGTTCCTTTAACAATAAATTTCTTATCTTTATTTTTGTGTTTAATTTTAATACTTCTGCATTTAATTTTTAACATAATTCTCCCTAATAGCTCTTCAGTAATTAAATGAAAATAAATCTCATAAAGGAACTGAGCTCATTGAGAAGCTTTAAGAAAAGCTAAAGTTTAGTTAAATCTAGTTTATTACAGGTATCTAAAATAAGTCTTCTAGAGTACAAAAATATGTGTTTATGATCAGAGAATATATTAAATGACTTAATGATGACGTATTTCGAGAATTTCATTATGTTTTTTTTCTTGTAATCTATTTGGGTACATTAGGTTCTTTATTTGCTAATTCTACTAAAATCTGATGTAATATTATCATAATAAGGGATTGGGCTTTTCTTTGTAGTATAATTAATATCCCCACTAACAATCATCTTCAAAAGTTAAAAGAGTAGTCTTCCATTCTAACTAAGGGTAGTTATGAGCTGAATGCTGACCAATAGAAAAGTAAATCGTTGAAAAATAACCTTAACAAAATAAATAATTTGAGTTTATAGATTAGGCTTTCTCATAGTTGGAATACTGTTTCTTACAGGCGTTATAAATGGTTATCCATTCCTCTTTGCTAAAACATTAATATTTAGCATGCCTACATAAATAACTTAATATGCTATTTTTAAAAGAACAATATATATTTTGTAAATTAAAACTGTAAAGTTTCCAGGATATTATTAAGAAAGCATCTTCTTATATGATATTATTGAATTGCCTTGACTTATTATTCATTTTTCAAAGAACTTATTTCACCTTGAATACAAGACTATTACAATCTGATAATTGTAATATTATACATTTTTGCAGTAAGAATGATAATAAATCATAGCAGTTTCCTAATTTTTTAAAATATGTTTAGGAGTCATAGTTTAAGTTAAATTAACTTGAATTTTTTGTTAAACTCCTAAGGAGTATACCTCCTGAGGTCAAAACGCCCAATGAATTATCATATATAAATAAGTATAATGTAAACTAAGAGTTTTATTCTCTTAATAAAAATTTCCTTTTAACTTTACTTCAAGAGTTGATTGAACTTATTGAAGAACTCTTCAAAATTATAGGTAAATAATAGCTTTTTAGAGAAAACCATAGCAGATCATTATTCATATTTTAATACCTATAATTTAATATATTTTATCTAAACTTCAAATTAATCTGGTATAATTCATAAATTTTGATTGTTTCAAAGTTTAGAAGGCAATATTGAATTCATCTTACTCATAACTATTTAATTAATATATTTCTATAATATGTTTATCTGGCGACTTAAGATTCTCTCTATATCTTTAGATCATAAAATTATTCTATTTAATTTTTATTAATTATGTGATAATTTGTTATTGGAATATTAATTGTTAGAAAATTGTGATTCCTTAATTGAATGTTTGTGGTAGGTTAACTTTCCCAGTTTATAACCTCCCAGTGTGATGATTTACTTTCTAATACAAATACATCCAATTCTTAGTTTAATACAATTCTCTGGGTTTCTTTCTCTCAATTTAGACCAATTCTTGCAATGTTCCTGTCTCTAGCAATCGTATCTATTTCTCTATCAGCTCCAGGTTCCTATCTGTAAGTTCCTGTTTTCTTCTCTGTTAGAGATTCCTGTACGTTTTTTCTTTTGCCTGTCTTCAGTAGCGATCTTTTTGACTGATCATTATTTTTAATTTAATTTTTTATATGTTTTTATAATTAGGTTTTCTTCTTCCAACATATCATCATTATTCATAAATAATGCTCTTCCTCCTCTGACATTTCTTACAAAATCTGAATAATCTCCTCTTAAGACTTTGATACCCGTATTGTCTCCAAAATATAATTTATGTAGTAGTTCAAGGTATGTTATATTGAGCTCTATATGTTGTAATTGAAAATCTTTATCAATAAGTAGAATGTCCGATCTATTTATTAGAATTCATTAATCTGTTCTGGATTTCTTTATGGAAACTCAATCTCATTTTGAATAACTATATGGCATTTGAATGTATCCTATAGTAATATTATTAATTATTATATATTTTTTATTTGATGAAAACTGATTGTGCATTCAGTTCTTTTCTGATTATCCTTCATATCTTCTTTTAAAAAAAATATTAAAAAAACTATTCCATTACCTTCTTCGTGTTACTTCCACCTTTTGATTATTAAGGGGCAGCAGCATTTTATATCTAGCCCATCTGCCATCTGTTTCTTGTTCAATTTGATTCTACTACATTAGTTCCTCTAGGTATACTCTAGATTCAAATTTAGCTTTATGGTCTAACCAGCAATCGAACATTCTTATAATTATTCTTTCCTAATTTATCGATTGTCTTTCATACCTTCCTAAGAAGAACATCTTAAGGAATGGATTGTTATATTCTTTTGTTACAATGATTCTCATATAGTGTTCACAAATCACCCTACCTTAATATAGCAGCTTCTCTTCAAGTGATGTTCTTAATTTATTGGCTTTTCGAGACCCTTATAGAGGGTTTTTCGACTATATCTTCTGGCGATAGGATATTATTATTTTTAGAAAATATATATTTCATTAATTTAATAATCTTTATTGGGATAGAGATTATTAAACAGACTAAAAGGTATTTGTTTGGAATTAAATGGTCCATGCAATTTAAAGAATTAATTTTTTTGGAAATATAGTATTAATTTGAACAACTCCGAAAAGGAATAGGAATAGAATTGTTTTAAGCATAGAGCAGCCTTTAACAAGCTAATCAAAAATACAATTTTTATCCTCTACCTTGATGCCTTTTATATAATAAGTAAATTTTTTATATCATCTACTTAAAGTGATTATTAGTATATTTTTGCAAAAAAAGTGAAGCTTTTTATTTTACACATGATTCAAATCTATGATTATGATAATGAAATTAGATTTAAAAAATAGAAGACGAAGGATTTTCTTATAGTCTGATTATTTAAATTTCACCTACTTCTTTAATATCTTTCCTAGACTATCTGATTTCTCCGTTTTAATTGGCATCTCTATTTGGTTGAATTCCTAAGAAATTTCACTAACCTTCTATCTGTATTATTTCCTCTCTTTCACCTACATCAAATTTAAATCTCCATTTAATTATAGTCTTATGCAAGTAGTCCTCCACATTTATCAACAATAATTAAGTCATACATTTTTCTTGTAGTTCAATTTCATTGTTTCACTCTAATAAAAGACATTATAAATTGGTAAAATAATTATGTTACATATCATAGTATCCAAGATATCCAAGACTTGAAGACAATTTTATATTTTCCTATTGTTAAATACTATTGTGCTTTTTTTAGTTTAGGTTAGGACTAATTATTAGAATTGTTACTTTAATTCTATATTTGATTCAACTTTGATTAAATAATGATTTAATTTTTGGCTAATAGATATTGTTCTTATTTCTAAGGCATCTTTCTTACTCCATCAAAATTCAATAATTCTCTTTTCCATTATCTCAAAATCCTCACATTCTCCAATACTCTTCCCTTAAATTAATATTTCATAGTGGGATTACTTGATTTTTTCTGTTTAATCATGGTTCTGATGATTGTTTTGGACATGATCTAATTCATAGAAAAAATATTATTAGCTTCAATTACATTTTAAAGATAATTCAAAATCTTTTTAAACACCATAAAATTCAGATAACAATCCTCTCAATCAAAAATTATCTTCTGCTGTAGCTTTCAAATCTATAAAACATTTTTCACAAAATACTTTCTTTAGAAATATCTATATCTTGATATTCAACTCAATATTATTATTTCAAATACATTGCTATTAATTCAATAATAATTTTTCTTTAAGCTCTAATCACTCTTTTATTACTAAGTCAATGAAGTCTTAAGTATAAAATAAAAACATAATATTTCATAATTTATTTTTCTATGGCGAGAATTAAATAATAATCGAGATAGATATTAAATACATGATAATTATTTTTAGTGAGATTTGTTAAACAAAGTAACAAATATTTTTGATATTTATTAACAATTTTTGTTTATTTTATTAATTATTCATTTTGTTAAAGACATCCATAAAATTTTATGTTAAAGTAAAAAATGTTTACTTATAATTTACAATTTATAAGCAACCAAATATTATACATTTAATTGATACAATTTTTCAAATGTTATAAATTATTGGGGTTGAAGAAAAATAAATATATATTAACACTTAAATTATAACTCATAAACATAAAAAAACACTTATAAAAAATCTTTACATCAATAAATAAAAATTCATTAAATTATTATCAAACTAAACTTAAAATCAAAAGGATTAACAAATGCATGTATTTTACTACAAGAAAACTTAATATGTTATATTTAATTTTATACAGTTAGAATTTAGATCAGTATCTTGCTCAACTTTTATTCTAAATTATGAGCATTTATTCTTTTAATATGATAATAAAATAAAAATAATAAAATTTCATAATTTAAATATTATAATTCTCATAATTATCTAAACTTTCTTATTTATATCTCCTTTGATATGTAATCCCAAGTGATCAAATACTCTCCATCATCACTTAATTATCCAAAAATAGCAACAGTACTAAATTCAATAGATTATTAAAGGATAAAGTCATCATTTTCTTTCTTCCTCATTAAATTAACATTACTGCCATTCTTATTCACTAGAATGCATTTCGACTTTAAGTATTGTTATGGAAAGGAAACATTATCATCTCTTAAACCACACTTTACAGCAATTTGCTTAGTCTTGCTATACTATTTAGTATTACTATCCATCATATATATATCCATATATTCTTAAAATCTTGGTTAGAATATAAATTAATTATCACTAATAAAACATAATCTTAATCCATATTAATCTACTTTTATCTTTTATGTAACATTCCATTTATTATCCAACTTTTATTATTCTATTACCAATATTTATGAATCTCTTGAACAAGATATCAATTTATTTTATTGATCATTTAAGCTTAATGAATATACTCTTTAAGTATGATCAGTTATGGTTTATTAACACATCCATTTATCCTATTTCATCCAAAATTTTATTGTTTTATCTTCACTACCTGAGATAATTAGATCATCAGTATTATTTAATTATAAGCAATTTATAAAATGTGAATGTCCATTCAATATTTATTAAAATTTCCATTAACTATTTCCTATCTCTTACCATATTATAATTAAATGATCAAGACTTCCAGATACAAAATTATTTGTATTTTTCATGAAATTCAAAGTACATACATCATATTTATGCTCACTTAGTCTTTATATTTAATCGAGTTTCCCTTATCTATGTTTAAATACTTTAATATTCTTATCCCATCCAGCTACCACGATTGAGCAATCTTTATTAAAAGCAATAGCACAACACTATTCATTTTACTTAATTGTATTTTAATTCATGATTTCAAAGGTGAATGGGTTTAGATTTTAAGGTTTTAATCCAGGTTGATGTTTTGGTTATTATATAATCAAGTTTGGAGTTTATAAATTATCATCTTACTTTACATTTTTTTGATTCTTTATCTTTTTAAGTATTTCATTTACAGTTGATTTTATTTATTCGATTGATTCTTTTATTTATTTAAATAACTTTTTTTCGCAATCTTCCATTTAACATAAACCTTTTATTAATTAGTCAATCTGTGATACTCCTGATTCTGGGAATTATGAAACAGCTAAGTTATTATAAGGAAGGAACAAATTTATTAAACGATCAAGGTCAATTTTACACTCTTAAACATTATTTTAAATGATCTGAACCTAAAGGATTCTTTCCTTAATCCATTCAGATAACAGTTCGAAAGATGTTAACTTTTCAAGATGTTGATTATGGCGAGGCAAACAAAAATTACAATAGGGTCTTTAATTTGGGCAT